AGGCTGCCCCACCTCTTCAGCCTGAGCCCCTCTGTGCAGTAAAAACCTTTCCCTGCTCACATCTGCGGGTTCCATCCCCCCCAGCCTCTTTTCTTCCCTTCCCAGGAGGCCCCAGGCTCCAGATGTGTCTTGCTCACACCTTCCCTGCAGAGAGGAGAGAAGGAGCCGCTGTGGCCACTGCTGATGCAGAGAAGCTAATGAGTCTGCAGCTAATGAGTCAGGCTGTCTGCCTGAAAATCCTGGCCACCCATTTCCACCACTGTCATGGCAACAGAGCATGTTTATTGAGCTCTTGCCATGGCTCAAGCACTTGCCAGTGACACTCGGAGAGATTCCAGAGTCCAGGGTCTCATGGGGTATGAGCGTCCAGGCCAGCCCCCACTGGGTCCCAGGGGCCCCCTGACCTCCGTGGTGAAGGACACTTCGTCATGCACCAGGGGACCCTGAAGCCTACCTACCCTCTTAACGCCAGCTGCCTCTCACCACAGAGGCCCTGGCATTGAGCTTCCTGCCACAGTACATCCTCTCATTGATCTGGGGCTATTGACGTGATGTTTCCACCCCCTCTTCTGGAGCCACAAGGCCAGTACTTCAGGTAGACACCTTGACACCCTTCTGCCCCTGCTTGCTGGGTTGGCCTGAGCCGGGATCTGGGCCAAGGCAGCACCCTCGCTCATCCCAGGCTCACTGTGTCCCCAGCCCCCAGCCAGCTGCCAGCCCAGGGCCCTTGCACACTGCAAGAGATTTCCTCAGCTGGGCAAGGGAATCCTGGGGCTTAGTCTTGTCTGCTCACAGCAGCCCCATCCTGCGGGCTCGGAGAAGAGCCCAGTGTAAGAGTGAGGTGCTGTGTTGCTATTTCAGAATCCTTGTTCCTCTTTCAGTCCCCGGCATTAGCACGATGCCAGGTACAAGCAAAGGGGACAGTAAACCCTTAAGACCGCTTCCCTGCTCAGAACCAGGCCATTGCAGGATTGACAGAGCTGTTGGCCCACGGATCCCATGGGCGCATGGAGCACTTTGCCATGCTCAGGGTCTCAGAAAGACCCCTCCCAACACCTCAACTGCAAAGTGACAGAGCTCAGGTGAGTAAGGACTTGTCGCCCCGAGGCAGAGAAACAGGTCTGACTGTGCCTTCCTCTGCCACCCCCCCAGGGGAGAGAGACTCCTATTTGTTTTCTGCCCCCTCACAATCTGCTTGCTGGAGCCAAGATGCGTCCAGGCTTCCCGACTTTGCAGGTTATTAGACCCTTTCTCCATGTGCCGTCCACAACCTGTGGGAGAGGAATTTCAGCAGGGCGGGTGCAGAAGTTTGGATGCAACAGCATCCGAACTTCAAGTCCAGCCTGGTCTCCAGCTGCCTCCTCTGACACCTCTTTACGATGTGGCCGGGTGTGGTGGCGCATGCGTGTAACCTCAGCACTAGGGAGGCTGAGGCAGGAAGATCATTGTGAGTTTGAGACCAGCCTGGGCTACAAAGTGAGCTCAAGGCCAATGATGTACTTATTTCTTATAAAGCAAGTAAGCCCTGTCTCCTCGCCTAGGTCACCGGCCCAGGAAGAGAATCTATCTCTATGCTTCCTCCAGTTTGCTTATTCTTCCAATTGTGGATGGATGCAACTGGACTGATATTTTGGGCTTTTTGTTAGTAGAACTTCACCATTGCTTCCACGTACCCGCTCCACTTGTAAGCCAAGTAGCTCAAAAGCTTATATTTCCTTCCCTTTATTGGCTTCCGTCATTAAGCTCCACGCTGTGCGCACTGACAGAGCTGAGCGGAGACAGGCTGGAAAGGACAAAATAAAAACAGCCAATTGGTTGATAGTAGAAAGTTTCTGAGGACAGAGAGGAGGGACTGGGGTTCCCACCCACTGAAGAGGAGGGCTGTGAATGCTCTGAGGCAGTGCCGGTGACTCTTCCTGATTGGAGAAGACAGATTCAGAGGGGACAGTGGGTCAGAGATTCTGTTTTTGTCTTGTCTTAGCTAGTACGTATCCTGAAATTCCTGGTTTTTGATGCTTTGTCCGTTTCTGAGACAGGATCTCGCTATGTAGTTCAGGCTGCCCTTGAACTCACTACACAGCCCCAGCTGGACTCAAACACACAGGAATCCTCCTGCTTCAGCCTCAGTGCTGCCTCAGTGTTGGGATTCCTGGCATGTGCCACCATGCCTGGCCTAAGGCTCCTGTTCTCGACAACCTGGCACGGTGTGGTGGCACATGCTTGTAGTCTCAGCACTGGGGACACCGAGGCAGGAGGATCACCACAAATTCACGGCCAGCCTGGGCTACATAGTGAGTTCAGGGTAGCCAGAATTATGTAGTGAGACCCTGTCACAAAAAAGAAAAAAAAGGAAAAAACCAGGCTTGCTGGACACTGGCTGTGAAGTAAGGCCCCGACCTGCAGGGAGCTTCTCAGCTCCTCCACTGGCTAAACCCTGGGGCCCTGGTGACAGAGTCTGCTACATCAGGCCTCTGCCGCCCCACCTCACTTCTCCACAGCACTGTAGGATTGATTGTGCGCTCTGGCTAGGCTTTTTATGGCTAGTATTGATTGTTGCTTTTATTGGCAAAGAGCACATCAAAATGAAAACAAATCTAAGCATCGGTGCAGGGAGAGAGTAAAGTGCTTTGTGTGTGTCTCCAGGGCGGGGAGAAGACTTGCTCGGGGACCCAGTGGTCAGCCCGGTCCCTGGGCTGCTTCTTTTTCGTGCATCTCTGCAATTACCTAAGGATGTTTGTCTGTCTCCTTCTCACAGGGCGGGCTGCTGTGGCCTACCCCACATACCCAGAATGCTTGGCTCTCCATTCATGTCGACTGACATCTAGGTAGGGCTCCCCAGAAAGCAGTCATTTCAGGGCTAGGCCATCAGCCACACCTTTCTGTTCATTCCGCATGCAGCTGCCGCAGCTGGCCAGTCATCACAATTTGGGGTTAGGGGTTTGGTTCCAAAATGGCAAGCAGCAGCAGCAGCAGCCCTAGCAATTATCCTTACTACATAGACAAAGAGTATTCAGAGTTGTCCCGTCATGTTCAATATCTAGGCCAACGCTTTTAGCCAAGTGGTGCTGTATTGCCGAGATTACCACCGTTTACAGATGAAGAACCTGGGGCTAGAGACTGCCACGTGGAAGATGAGGATTTATGCTTGGGTTCAATTTCTACATCTGTAAATTGGAAATAGTATATTCCATTTAGGGCTGCTGAGAGGATTAGAGAAACATTCCATATGTGTTTACTTGTCTACTGCCTTTTTGCTCCTCTAAACTCCAGCACTGTGAAGGATTTGGCTTGTTCACTGTTGTACTGTCAGAGCCTGATACCAGTACCGGGTACACAGCAGATATTCAATAAATTCTCGTGCCTAAACTTGGTGTAGGGGCAC